AGAGAGAGAAAATAGTCTGTAATACTCTAATGATGGACACATGTCATACATTTGTCTAAATTTATGGAATGAATAATATTAAAAGTGAAAGCTAATGTAAACCATGGACCCTGAACAGTAATGTGTCAGTGTTGATTCATTTATAGCAAATGTACACTGTCTTGCAGGATTTTTTTTCTTTCTTTTTTCTTTTTTTTTTTTGGTATTGGGGATCAAACTCAAGACCTTGCACTTGGCATGCAGGTGCTTGTGCTGCTGAGCTATATCCCTGGCCCTGTCTTGCAGGATTTTGATGGTGGGGAAGTTTTTGCTTATATTGGGGTGGGACATATTATCAATGTCTATGGCTTCTAGAACTACATTCAATATAAGGTGTGTATTTTTAAAAAACTTATTATACAAAGCTTAGCACATTGAATGTACCTAATGAATTAACCAACTCTAAAATATTTGTCCTTTTTACTGTATAACACATCACGTCTACCATTTAGTTCTCTGCATTAGAATGCCTGTTAAACATAGAATGCAAGCATGGAGAGAATTGTGACCTACACAAGAATTATGGATCAAGAATTCCACCAGAGGAAACCAGTTCTGTTCAAGGAGAGGAGCACATATTTTCTCATGAGATTTTGAATAAATCTCAACTTAATAACCATGGCACTGAAGCTGCTGACAACTGCCAGTTGCTCTATGAAGGCAATTTTCCATCCTACCATTCTTGGCCATTCTTGGGAAATTTTTCTTGGCCCTGCGATCTCATTGAGGAACACCCGTTTTTATCACAGAATCCCTCCACCAGCCAAGTACGGCGGACGGCACACAGTGACCATAATTCCTGGAGATGACATTGGACCTGAACTAATGGTGCATGTGAAGACCGTGTTCCGCTGTGCGTGCGTGCCCGTAGACTTTGAGGAGGTGCGGGTGACCACCACATCTAGCGAGGAGGAGATTCACAATGCCATCATGGCAGTGCGTCGAAACTCTGTGGCTTTAAAGGGCAGCATTAAAACCGACCACACCCAGCCACCTTCTCACAAGTCTTACAGCAACATATTGCGTACCACCCTGGATCTCTATGCCAATGTCACCCACTTTAAGAACCTGCCCAATGTGGACACTCGCCACCAGGACATAGACATCTTGGTGATTCGGGAGAACACAGAGGGTGAGTACAGCAACCTGGAGCATGAAAGTGTGAAAGGAGTGATCGAGAGCCTAAAGATTGTTACGAAGGCAAAGTCTTTGCGCATTGCTGAATATGCCTTCCAGCTGGCCCAGAAGATGGGGCGCAAAAAAGTGACAGCTGTGCACAAGGCCAACATCATGAAGCTAGGAGATGGCCTCTTTCTCCAGTGCTGTCAGGAGGTGGCGTCGCGCTACCCCCACATCACCTTAGACAGCATGGTCGTGGACAATGCTACGATGCAGCTGGTGTCCTGGCCTCAACAGTTTGACGTCATGGTGATGCCCAATCTTTATGGCAACATTGTCACCAGTATCTGCACAGGGTTGGTTGGCGGGTCGGGCCTTGTACCTGCAGCCAACTATGGCAGCTTATATGCAGTGTTTGAGACCGCCTCAAGGCAGTTAAACAACGATCCAAAGGATAAGAACAGGGCCAATCCTACCGCCATGCTGCTAGCAAGTTGCATTATGCTGGATTACCTCAAACTACACTCCCACGCCAAAGCGATTCGTACTGCAGTCTTGGCATCCTTAGGAAATAAAAGTATTCAAACACCAGACATTGGAGGCCAGGGTACCACCGTGGAAATAATTCAGTATATTATGGACCACATCCGAAATGCCAATTAAATGACCAGTGCCATGGAAGCCAGTATCACCCCAAGTCCTTTCTGTCCTGTTTCCTTCTCCACCCATCCTCAAAAATCCTACCAGCTTGGCTAACATGGACTCCAAAACAAGTTATCTTCTCTGGTGCAGCAGGTGCAGGTGAACCAAGACTGTTCTTTTTCCATTAAATTAAAATGTCATAAATACTGCTGACTTAAATTAACCAAATGTATTGCATTGTAAGTAAATTGAGGGCATTCTTCTCTTTTCTAATCCACAATTCTCACCTTCCTATGATACGACACACTGACTAAATCAGAGCTGTTTGTGGAGCAAAAGGGCTTCTCCAGAGCTTGGCACACAGATACCCCAGTGGTTAAAATTCAGCAGAGCCAGCACACAGACAGTCTGTCTTTTCTCTAGATGTTCTTAATGAATGAATTAGTGCACTACATCCTGCTTACAACACATACACTGCAACTTTATTAGTAAATAAGGAAGCACAAAGCTGAGCTATCACAGACTGCTTCTCTTCCTCCCACTAGTATTCCATCCCTAGTGTTGTTTAGGAGCTTTTTGTTAGAAATTTTTCTGGAGTTTGTTTTCACATACAAAAATTCCCGGGCACTGTAATTATCCTGGAGGAGGAATTCTTGAAGTTCTTTGATCTGGGCTCAGATGTGTAGGAATCAAATCTCTTTACAGCTGGACCACGATTTCTTGTACAAATAAAACACTGGATTTTAAACCTCATGTTCGGTGCTTTGACAGCTGCTTAAGGTTCACAGTTTGAAAGAAAGAATGTGAAGGAATGTGAAAAACAAAATGCTATAATCTAATGTGAACATTTGCCATCATGTTATCATATTGAATTTACATTGTTTTTAGGGTCTTCACTGGGAAACAAAAATAATTATATTACTTGGAATTTTTGTTGCTCAAAAAGCTAAAAAAGTAATGATTATAAAATCTTACAGTGGTTTTCTCAGGAGGATTAGCCTGCAGATAGAAGTAAGGTGGAGGAAAGCAGTGAATTCTATGTTTTGGAAATCTGCTATCTCACCTGTGATCTTTGGATCTCACCATGATTCATGTATTAGGAGCTGAAGATGTTTTTCTTGGACCATAAAAGGTTGCTGTAGTCTCCACAGAGTCCTAACTTAGTCTGATTATCTTGAGTTCATCTATGCTAATTATATAGGAAGTTGGGGCCAGGGTTTGGAAATCCAAAAGCTAGTTGGAAAGGGTCTAGTTTGAGGAGGTAGTGACCATATTCACCCTATCTAGAGGTCTTTAGAAAAATAAGAGAAGCAGGAAAGAATCAATAATAAAATCATCATTATAATCTCATTTATTGGACAGCTAGACAGCCGTCAGCAAGGAGGGATTTCACCAACCCATGTAGCCCCCACCTTGAGCTGATGGAGACCTGAATTTTTGGTGTGGTTTGACAAACAGATTAGGAGTGTGTTGTAGCCCGAAGTCCCGCTTCCCTGAAGGCCACACTAATCTATACAACCTTAACTCACACTACCTGCTCTGTAATTCTTTCCCTCATGACTAAGGAAATTTATTTATGGCACAACCACAGAAGGTGGCTCAGCTGTCAGCTTCTATTTAACAATGGGAATTTATGGTTCATTTCGGCTAAAGTTTCTTTTTCTGTTAAAAATGTCGCACCACCCCCACAGAAAAGGAAAAGTTCTTGGATCAGACTTCTGCGTGGCTCCTTGTGTTCCATAGTGGAATTTTCCACTTCCATTGTTAGACACACCGCTAAACTATGAGTCATGTATTTTTCCTGTTGTTGTCCTTCATAGTCCTTAGGAGGAGAATGACTGGTACATAAAACATAAGCAAGGTATGTTTGTCGATTTAATGAAAAATAAATGCTGTGCCTAATCCTGCCTCACTTTTCTTCAGTCTAAAGTGAGATGATAATTGATATTATTTCACAGGGTTGTATGGAAGATTGAGAGAGATAAAGCAAATGAGTTTATTAGCATTGTGGGTATGACAAGGTGAATGGTTGGTATATTTTGAAATTACTGTGTTTAGCTGAGGTATGAGGCCATCTTGTGTGTCTGTTCTTTTCAAGAGCAGTCATTTCCTTGCTTCTCTTCCCCCCAACCCATTTGTTTTTTTCCTTTTGAGCAGTTTCTTTCCCTTTCACTGTATCTATTGTACCTTTCGGATCTTATTTACTCTTTCAGTTTTATATATATATATATATATATATATATATACACACACACACACGATAGCTAAGATAATTCTATTGCTAATTTCTATTAGCTCATTGAGAAGAACTTTTAATGCTTATATTGTTTGATCAATTTTGCATGACTGTACCTGGTAATCTGAGCAACTACTTTGACGATATGCAATATAATAAGCGTTGTTAATTTCCTATCACCTTGTTTTGAAGGTCGTATCTTTTGTTGTTACTGTTATTGTTTCTTTAAAGTAATAAAAAGGTGTACTCACTTCTTTTTGTCCGCTTTCCCCCCTTGTAAGTGTGTGCCTTCATCAGTGGAAATTCAGTAAAAGTAGACGTGAACCACCAAACTACCTTTTCAGTTGGGAACTAAATGCCACAAACAAGGTTGTTTTATGGTGAATAATGATGAGAATGAATACCCGTCATCTCTGAGATGGTTTGTTCAGGTGCTGATGAAAAGGATTAACTGAATATTGTCTGAGCGGGGGTAATGAATTACGAAGACAGTGGCAATGCAAGGACGGTGGTAACTTTTAAAGTGTTCATCCAGCTTACGATTTTTTGGAGCCCTGAAATTACACCTCTTGTGGTCTTCAGGTTGAAGTGTGTCTTAGAACCTGTGCCGGTCCATGCATAGCACTCTAGCTGTGGAAGGAAAGACAGTGTCAGAAGAGAAAGATGGAGAACTCTGCAGTGTATCTGCAGCTCAGTTCTAGCCAACTTCCCACTAGGGAGAAAAGTATCATATCCATTAAGTGTCTTTATTCTCTCTCCTTTTTATTTCTTGAATCTAGCAACCTCCCTGTTTTCCCCCAGTACCTCCTTTGTCAGTAACCTCCCTCACATTAGAAACTTCCTGTTTCTCTTACTGTGACTATGTCCTGCTAACTTATGTCCTGTCTCTAGTTTAGTGGCCTTCAGTATATTTCCTGCAAGGTACACAGCATTTTCTTTCTGACAGTAAATGAAATCCTGCCACTTCCCTACTTAAAATCCCTCATCTGAGGGCTTCCCTTTGTCCTTTAAAGAAAGTCCACTGAGCGCACACAGCACTGTGCAGTGCTCTCCTTGGCAAGAGGGGTGGTAGATTCATTTATCACTAGAGCCTCAGAACCTAGGACAGGGACAGGTCTTCATCTATACTTAAAATACAAAAAGAAGGGAGGGAGCGGGCAGGGGAGGAAGGAAGGAGGGAAGAATAAAGGAAGAAAGGAAGGGTGAAGAAAGACGAGATCTCCTTAAAGGACCCCTTCACCTGGAAGATGAAGGAAAGAAGGGCTGACAGCCACTGTTAGGAGTTTAGGAGGGGGAGAAATAAAGCTGTAATCCAGTGACGGCAGACCTTTTAGAGACCTAGTGCCCAAACTGCATCCACAACCCATGGATGTATCACAAAGTGCCAGCAGTGCAATTATGCGAATGAGTTATGGTGTGTGATGTCATCACCTGGCACTGCTGCTCCTTTCTCTGTGTGCTACTGTTTGGTGCTCAGCTGCTGGAGCGATGCTGGGAGGGCTTGGCTTGCCTGCCAACAGAGATGGCTGTACGTGCCGACTGTGACGCATGGGCCAAAAGTTTGCCACCGCGTCTAATTGCTTGCAAAAGTCCTCCTGTCTTCTCTAAAGAATACCAAAGCCCTCCTGGCAATAAAACAGGTGGTGGACAGGCTGTTAGCATTTCCTGCAAAGACTTCTGTAGTCCATTTATTGGGTAATTTCATCTGTGCCACATTTATCAATTTTCTCGGCTTTGCTTATGGTTCTGGTGTTACAAAGAATAGGAGACACAAGTTGTCTGATTTTTCCCTTGATTAATTCTTTCTCAGTAAGGCTGTTCTGGCTACAGCATTGTAAATCACTCAGTCACTCAAATGCCATAGCTGAACTCATCCCAGCTCTGCCACAAAGAGCTGTGTATACTTGATAAGTTGCATAACTTCGCTGGTGTGCAGTATTCTCAATGTAAATGTCCACCTTCATAGGATCACTGTAAATGTCACATAAAGTTGCTTTGCTTATTACTGCATGATAAAGCACCCCAAAATTTAGTGGTTTAGAAGAAGTGGTTAATGGTCATGATTCTGTGGATTAAGCAGGCAGTTGTTGCTAGTGGGGGTGTTGGGATGGCTGACAGGTCCCAATAGCTGTGCTCACACGGGAATGGCTGTCCACATGGAGCCTCAGCTTTTCTCTGTGTGGCCCTCTGATGAGGCTGTTTCAGCATCTTTGCAGCATGATACCTGGTTTCAAGGAGCAAAGAGCAAGAATGTAGATCTCTTACAGCCTGGCTTTGTAAGTTGCTCAGGAGCATTTGTACCGCATTCCATTGGTGATGTAGGCAGTGGGGCAGAGCAGACTGAATGAGAGAGAATGTACACCCGCTTTCCATGAGAGAGCAAGGAGCTCACACTGCAAAGCGGACTAAGGAATCAGAAACAGTACTGTGCCCTTTGGGAAGCACGATCTCCCACCATGAGAATATATTTAGAACTCTTTCCGCAGCGCCTGTCCTTTAGGAAATGCTTGGTCAATGGCATCTGTTACCGCCCTCGTCGTTTCCCCCTTGCATCTTATCTAGCTTGACTTTCTGTTGATTCCGCCCCATAACATATCTTATATGTTGATTCCCCTCATTCTGTCTCATTTCTTCCATGCTTATACCTTGCCAAGGATTACTTAGAAGGTTGTCTACCCAGCCTCAAATTTGACCTCCTTCATTTCACATTTTCTCGTCTGTGAATTTTTCATCTACTTGAATTTAACTGTAACAAATCATACAGTCTTTGAGGTTATGAAGCATAGTTAAACCACTGTTCTGGGCTTTGCACTATAGTACAATGCTTGTATAGTTGGTTCAATTTGGTAGTTAAACATCAAGTAGAATAGGAATACTAGTAATAATATGATTTATTGTGTTTATTATGTACCTTACGTTGTTTCACATGCTTTCCAATTATTAATTTTTTTTTAGCTCTCAGCATTAACTCTGTTAAATGGTTATTG